GTATAATTAAATATAAAATGTTAAATGTGAAGGTGTAAGAGTATATAAATATAATTGTAATATGATATATTTAATAAGAAAAATTGAAAGAGTAAGAGTAAGAATGTAGAAATAGAAATTATAAATATTTATATAATATTATTATGTAATACTAAATAAGTATATAAATATAATTATAATATGAGAATATATGAATTATAAAAGATGAAACTGTAAATAATGTGAATAGAGTAGAAATGTAGAATTAGTGATTGAGAAATTGAGAATTGAGAGTAGAATGTGAGTAGAAGTAGAATAGTGAGAAAAAATGTATAAAGTGAGTAGGTATATATAGGGAAAAAATTGGTAACCCCCTACCCCCAAACCCCTCCCAATGGCTATAATGCCATTACTAGCCGTCTAGCCGTTCCAAACAGCTAGTTTGACCCTAGCCCCACCCACCCCATTATTTAATTTAAAATAATAATAATTTGTCTGTTGGGGCCGGAATCGGGACCGCCCGGTCCGGCCCCTCAAAACCGTGACCCGGGACCGAGTCCGGAACTACCCGGTCAGGTACCCGGTCTAAGACCGGAACCGGAAAACCGGACCCGGTCCGGTTCCGCACAATAGCGGACCCGGTTTCAGACCGGTCCGAGGCCGCCAGCCAGGTCCAACCTTACTTCGAAAGGAGCAATATGACTTGCTAGTCCCCACTTTGACAATTGTAAGCCAACCATGATCGACCTAGCATCCCTGTCACTTATCCCGTCCTCAGCTTCACTCTCAACAAAAAAAAGTGTCAACCTAGGCAAAAACTACCCAACAAAAAGACCAACAAATAACCAACAAAAGCAATCGAGAAATTGAAATAACTAGGTGAGCCTAAAAGGCTAGGCTCCCACCTTCCATGTTTTTTTGCTCATCCACCACTATTGCACACACCTAGCAGTTGTCCCTTCGGTTAGGCTCTTAGAAGACTCCCTTTGCAGCATGACCATATCTGAGTTTATCTTCTGAGTGCAGTCAACCATGACTTCTGCCTCACTCCTGCTATGCACACCCCTCTACCAGCCTGTGATCAACCACCTATTTCCTCCCACTACCGTACGTTTCCCATCCCTAGCTCGAAGCCATGAGCCATAAAGTTTAATTAACTCACCGTCTCCTTTATTATTACATTAAGGGACAGAAACGGTCTCCATGACCAATCAAACCACAAACAAACCAAAAACACGGAAGTCTTTCACACTTGAGATCCACCCAAAATCATTCCTTTTCATCTTTTATAACTTCACTTTCCTCCTCAAAGATTTACCTATGTCTAGACATACTCTGAGTCTCGCAAATTATATGGTACACCCGGATGTACATGTACCCCGGTATTTTTGTAATATGTATTACTTTTGTATATTAACTACTCTTAGTCTTGTTTTTTCCACTCCTGCGCATTACCCTTGATGTTGCTTGACATTTTTTCTTTTCTCATTCTTTTCTTTCGTTGCTTTGACATGTCTTTTTGCTTCTTTCTTTTCATTTATTTTAATTTTTGCTTTTCGTTTCTTTATTTTTTCTTTAACAATTTTTACTTTATTTTATGATAAAAAAATTACTTTATTTTGTTTATTCAATTATTATTTGTATTATATAAAATATTATTTATTATTTAATGTTTGAGTTTGTTTTTTCTTTTTCCAATCAACCTTCTAACTTAAATTTTTTAATTTGTGCATTATAAAATATTTTAGGTATTATAGAAAAGAGTTTGTGTTATATTCGAACAAGTCTGATGCTCATTGGAAGTGTTTTAATGCTCATAATAGGTCTGATGCACATCAAAAGTTCATTAATGCTCATTTAACAGAAATTGTGATTTTCATCTCAATAGAGGAGGGTTGGTGCTCAATGAAAATGTCATTATGTCAAACTAACAAACCTTACGATTTTCATATCAGTGAACATTTTGTACGTTATGTATGATCTTCTGGTACTTATCCTATGCTCATTTTCTAAATGTCAAATCAATGTATTTTTTGAAAGTACTATTTTACATTTGATTCACATATTAAAATTCATAGCAGTTGATTATAAATATAATTTAATAAGTTTTTATAAAAGAAAAAATAACAAAAAGAAAGTGAATTAGAAGTTATGAAACAGAGATCACGATTATGAATATTAGACTCCTAATTCTCAACATAATAGGTCGGATGCTCATTAAAAGTTCATTAGTGCTCATTCACCAGAAATCGTGATTTTCATCTCAATAGCAGAGATTTGATGCTCAATTAAAATGTCATGATGTTCATATCAATGTGCACTTTGTAAGTTATGTATGCTCATTTGGTACTGATGTTGTGCTCATTTTTGAATTGTTCTATCAATGGATATTTCAAAAGTATCAAATTACATTAGACTCGTATATTGAAATTAATATGAATTTATAGATATAATTTAATAAGTTTTTATAAAAGAAAAAACAAGAATAAGGAAAAAAATTTAGAAGATATGTAGCAGGAATCATGATACTCATTGTTAGTCTCTTAAATACTCAATAAAATAGGTATGATGCTCATTAAAAGTACAATATTGCTCATTTAGCGGAAGTCGTGATTTTTCGCTTAAATTACAAAAATGCCACCGATTTTTTTTGACATATATTAGTCGTTGGACCGTCTGTCTTACTTGGGCCGGGTGTACGTACACCCGGATGCACTATATACGAACTCCTTTGAGTCTCATATACGGCTCCCCAGAGATCCTCAAATTGACGTTCCTCAACTTTCAATAATTTGCCTAAAGAGTTCCAATCTTTTTTTGCAACTCTCATAGTAAAAAAATCTTGAAATTGGTTTGATTAGATGAAATTCATTAAATCCCGACTGAAGCTGTTGTATTGGCTGAATGCGCTGAATTAAAAATTTCACCTATACAATAATTTTACCTATAAAAGTAACTCAAACCTTACTTATTTTGATTATCATGCAAATTAGAGTGTGAAATCAAAATTGCATGTTTGATAAAAAAGTAATGAATAAAATGATAAATTTAAAATATGGGTTACCAAACGAACCTGTGGTGCCATTTATTATATATATTGACTCCGTTTTGAAAATGTAGTCTCACTATTAGTGTCGCCGCTTGACACCACTAATGTTTTTTATTTGTTATTGATACTCATATCTATATGAAAGAACTACGTATTTAATTATTTATGTAGTGAGTAGTGATTATCAATTTGGTCCTTGTAGTATCACGAAAACGTCAATTACGTTTAATTGAGTCATTAGCAGATTACCCGCTATGTCAGCAAGTCACCTATCGATGTGGCACACATGTGGTAACCCAGTCAACATTGACGTTGTTGACGTGGTGCACACGTGGAAGCCCATGCAATTATTTTTTGATGACATCAGCCATGCGTGCGCCACGTCAGTTGGTGATGTGCTGACATGACAGATAACTTGTTAATCGACTCAATTGAACATTTTTCAAGAATTGGAGATTTGATTTATCTTTTTAGTATCAGTACCTGATATTTTTGTGATAACATGAGGATCAAATTAACCGTTTCTCCAAAAATCTACACTGAAGTCAATAACTCCAAGTTGGCAAAAATAGCATACTCTCATATGTCAATGGTTAAGAGCCCGATGGGAAATACTCAAATCGACTGTATTGGTTGATTCTGCTGATATTTATGAAGTTCTGGCTAAAGTTATTGGATTGGCTGATTCTGCTGATTTATGAAAAAATTATATTAAAATAATTTTATTAATAAAAAAAGTTATATGAAAAACAGCTAAAATGATCCTCTACGGCAACTTCAGACAAAACAGTTAGAAAAGTAACTCGAATCATACATTTTCTTATTTTTTTTGAAAGGATACATTTTCTTATTATTACACAATAGAACGCGCGAAATCAAAAGTTACATGTTTGGTGAAAAAGTTGACTGATAAGCAGATAACCGAAAAAAGGTTACCTGCTCTAATATATACTAGGGTGGGTCGGTGAAACCGAAAACTGAAAACCGAATCGAAAACCCCCTAACCGCAATCAAAACAGTCGAACCGCAAGAAAAGCGAAACCGAACACCAAAAACCGAACCGAATCGTAGCTGTTTGGTTTTGGTTTTGGTTTTCACATCTCAAAATCGAACCGAACTGCACAAAACGAACTTCTAAAACTTGTTGTTTCGTTTATTTATCATTAAATATAATATTTTGTTTAGTTTTTAATTCTTAATTCTAGAAAATTAATGTTTGATACTAGATTTATTAATTAATTTGCAAGATATTGACATTTGATACTTATGGTTTAATTAAGTGAAACACTTGTACATACACTTAAGTCTATTGCTATAATATTAACATGTTTATATTTTAAATCGTAATTTATCGTTTGCTTATTGTTGCATGATAATGCTATTTTGTTGATATATTATTTGTTAAGTGTGTTTGTGATGACATAATTTTTTATATTGAACAAATATGTATTAATATAACTACACTTTAAATAAGATAACAAAAAACGTGAAACTTTATAGCATACATATCTTTGTCTAAAAAGAAAGTAGAATAAATTATTTACAATCAGTAAAAGTCTTTTAGTAAAAAGGGAATGAATTAGTAGACACATCATTTACAAATAAAAATTCAACTTGCGAATACACTATATAATTTGCAAATAAACTTACGTGTTTAATTAATTTAGAAAATGCTTAAATTGATATAAACTTTCTAATTCATTGCTTGGAAGTGTATTTGTTTCTTCTCTCTTTTTTAATTATGTTATTGTATTGTACTCGTATTACTATTAAGTATAAATAAAAGATTGGTGTAGTTTTTTTGTTTGTTTTTGTTTATCAATTACTATTTTTTTATAAAATAAAATATCATGGAAAAAATCGAAAAAACCGAATCAAAGAAACCATGGTTCCAAATTTTTGAATATAAAACCAAAGTGAACAGAACCAAACTTTTTACTTTAATTCAACATTTTGATTTTGGCTAAAACCTAACCCACCCTAAATTATACGGAGCAAGTAGTAGTAGGACTACGGAATAGCAGAAGACCATGAAAAGTTACTCATGGTGGGGTGGCAAGTCATGAACTCGTAAAATCTCTCCCGCCAAGAGATTAGGGTGGGTTTTCCCGGTCTCATAACCAATTATCAAAAAATGGAAAGACCCAGTTTACACAGATTTCATGCCATAATGTCAATGGCTTCAAACACTTTCTCAGCTATTCACTCTCTTTCGTTGGAAGAGTCTGGGCCAGCAATTTGAGGTTCAAACTCAGCCATGCTCTCCCTAAGCTATTCTACATTTCTTCTGAGAATGATTGAGTGAAACATAAACAAAGTTCTAAAATAGGATTGGGTATGTTTTTAAATTTATTTATGCTTTTATTTTTTTTACCAAATTATGTTTTCTCTTTTCATCTATACCCGCATACCCGCATCTGTCAAGGAAAAAAGAACTCTTCTATGGCGGTGACTGCAGTCCTGCAGATATCTTAGTACTGAAAATAGAGGTTTTGACAGGGTTAATCTTTATCGAAATTATTTATTTACTTTCTGCATTTACCTTTTGCTGTTGAATAAAGCATAATTGCATGTATGTGATTGTATTTGTTGACTTTTTTTATTCTAATATGTAAAGTTTTTCTTTTTCAGTATAGTTTAATACGAATCTTATGTGAAGGAAACCTGCCTTGGTTCTGTTATGAAGAACTGAATGCTTTACAATTAGTTTGAGTTCATATCACCACATTTATTGTGAATTGGGGTTGGATGGAGGGTCTAGATTTCCCCGTTAATCATGTGCCTAATCATGCCTGATTTTCATTGGATTTATAATCAACCGTGATATGGAATGATAATGATGCTTTTTAATCAACTTGTGTGCATGCCTTGCTTCATTGTACTCTAGTTGGAATTTGTTGGCTTCTTGCACCTTTGTTTTTCAATTAGAAGGATATCTTCTGCTAAATAAAAAGAAACAAAAGATGCTTACAATTTTGTTTGCTATGGAAGCAAATGTCTATTATCTATTGACCTATTGTTATATTTATAACAATGCACTCTACATTGATTTATGAATTGAAACTCTGATTGTTTATACTCCCTCCGTCCCAATTTACTTGACCATCTTTGACTTTTCCAGTCAAAGATGGTAAACTTTGACCAATTATTTAAACTAATATATTTATGCAAAACTTAATAATTTTATACTTTTATGATAAATTTTTTAACAAAGAACATTTTCATATCATTTTCATATTATTAATAATTTCTCTATATAAACATATAATCGGTCAAAGTTATACTCCATTGACTTGAAAAGTCAAGATTGGCTAAGTAAAATGGGACGGAGGGAGTATTTGTTATTAAATCATCTTACATATATTAATAAGGGGATTGTTGATAAGTAGTTTGTTTCAGATGAAATTGAGTGTACTTTTATTAGATTCTCCATTGCTTCATACTCGGGTTCTTACGCAAGCTATGAGAATGAGCTGAGAAGGGAAACACTCAAACCCTTCCAATTCATCATAGCCCAATATGGTACTTGTTATGGTCTTTATAGGGTCAGAACATATCATTGCGTGTTTTCTAAGCATATATATTTAGTGCTAGCATCTAGCTAGTAAAGTCATGTAAAACCAGAGTGTGTAGAGTAAACGAGAATAGCAAGCTGCTATGTAGATGATGACTGTGTTTAGGAGCTATACTTCCATGCAACAAGACAACAAAAGAACGGTTGGACAAAAAGGCATCAAGTAAAATACTACTACCTCCGCCCCCTAACATTGGGACAAAAGGGAGTGGTGCGGTTATTAAGAAAAGTGAAATTGTGTAGTTAGTTAAGTTGATAAAGTGTGAATAAAGTAAGAATGAATTGTAACCACCCAAATATTACCAAATATGGTATGAGACAAACTTAGTGGTTCGGAAGAAAAAAAGGTAAAACAATTGGAGTATCCGAGTATGTTTACACAGCATGGTACTAAGTTAATCCATGTTCAATCTGCAGGTGTAGCACAATAAACAAGAATGGCATGCAGTGCAGCAGACTTTCTAGATTTTTTTTTACAACAATTATAGGCCATAGTCTTTAATCAGTGGTCTTTCCAATTTTAGTCTGATTAATGCGACACCGACATTTGTGGTGTTTTTTATTTTATTTTAGCACATAGTTAGAGGATTAAAAGTGAAAAATAAAAAGCAGATACAGAAAGTGTCTCCATCAGTAAATGTAACAAAAACTTACAGATAGATACTAACAGAGTCATTGCCGCAATAGTCAGAGGCCGAAATGTGGAAAACCTCTTAGTCGGGAAGAAGAGTGAAGCGAATTACCATAGTTCATTTTACCCAAGTAAAGTTGGATATTTGTAAATCTAGACCTCAGATCAATATTGTTTTTTTATCAAAATATATTCAGCTAGTTTATCATGCAATTCACTTGTGTCAATATGCTGTGTTATCTCTTTGAAGCTGCATAATAGTTTTTCCTGATGCCAAATTGTAAACTCTAACCACGGAATACTTCCATTTCCTTATCAGCATCATAGAACTTTTTTGGTCACATTGCAGGAGGATTGCTTCTGAACGTGCTGTAATATCTGAATTTATTGGATTATTGGAGAAAGAGAGACTGGGACACTATTTATTCAGACACCACACATTGTTTTAAAACTTGTTTTAAGTTGTTCATGAGGAACAACTAACAGATGTATATACATTGCCAGGTTTTGCTAGGCTATCATTTAGACTATCAATATACCTCTTATCTGTAAAACCATGAATCATGACATACCCAGTTTATGTGATCATTTTTTAAGAAAGAGATTGCCAACAGTTTGAGGGTTTTCACATAATCAAAATGATAATGCAGATTGCAGAATGATTTTTATCTAATTTATCATGAACTGCTGTCATCGAATCATTGTATCATTGTACATTTTTGGTAAAAGATTTTGTTTCCCCGTTTATTAGCCACATTTTCTTCTAACCACTGTTTTAAAAGAAAATGACACATTTACCCTTTTATATTTTATAAATGATTATTTTTTACCATCAGTTTCTCTACAACAACAACATTCAAGCCTTATTCCCAAAAGATAAGCATCATTTTTACCATCAATTTCTCTAATCAATAAAAAAATATGTTTTAGCTATATTTACTACCAAACACTAACTTATTTGACTATACTGGTTGAATAAGATGATGAAAGGAAGGAATTGGCATTACGCATATTTTCAAAATATGATTCTTTTAACCATTTTTTCAGATATCATTTCCTTTATCTATAAAAAGGATATGCTTTTCATGTTTTTTTAAATTATTCGGTTGGTTCTTGTCATGCAAGGACCTCTTACTGGCTCGCGGAGAAGAGGGTTAAAGTTTCGACATTCTGTCCCTACACCAAAATGAAAATATGCACATTGTTTAGGCTTTTGACAGCTCAGAGATGTAAGTACATTGGATTTCTCATTCATGCACATTGCACAAAAAGTGTTTTTAGTCGTAAGAGTAAGGGGGTGACAGAATACAGGTTAGATCCACATCAGAGTCTAAAGCTCTTTTATTGCCTTCTCCCTTGAGCAGCAGAAGCAATTGTTCAAAGCAGTTAAACATTGAGGCAATCGAACAATCATTACCATTTATTTTAAATAATACAAAAACTCAATGTTTTACTGATAAGTTAATTCTCATCTTTGTAAGTTATTATAAAAGTACAGCTCATTGTTCTTATATGAATTTGATCATGAGCAGTAAAATTTGTAGTTTCACTGTTTTATTGAAACGAGAACATTTTTGGCGTGTTGCTCTTTCCCATCCTCTTTTATACGTGTGATGAAATGTCATTTTAAAATATATTTTAAAACTTGTCAATAGCTTTGATGTCATTACTAAATTTATCCAGATTTGAAACATGGTTATTTTAGTAATTAATTCAATATCTGAAATGCGGTCGTTAAAACCAAATCCATTGATGAAAAAGAAAATTTACGCCAATGCAGAAAAGGAAAATTTCAATAAATTAAAACAGGAAATATATTAATATGCATTGAATTACCTGTCAAATTCAAGCGGGTTTTGAATTTAACCATGGTTGGGTAGTGTAACACCCCGCCCTGTAGGACCCGAGGTAGTTACTTCTGACCTCTTCGGACCTCTAGTACTGCCCTCACAAACCGGCACTAGCCTTTTCCGTGCACTTTGTCCTCACTCGTGCGTGCCCTGAGCAACTTCCCAGGGTGTCACTCATCCCAAGACTACTCCCGCGCAAGCATGCTTAACTTTGGAGTTCTTGGGTGATGAGCTCCCTTAACCTCTGTTGGTATGAGTAGTACTATTAATCCTTTTAAATTAATCTCAAGTGTTACAATCACCCCCACTTAGGACCGCAACGTCCTCGTTGCGCCCATAAACCAATCTCAATCATATCCCAGAATCTTTTCCCCTGCTAAGTGCCCGCTCGATATCCAACAGATCAACACACTGTCGCAGGGTTGCTCTGATACCATTTGTAACACCCCGCCCCTTAGGACCCGAGGTAGTTACTCCTACACACCCTCCGGACCTCTAGTACTGACCTCAAGTGTTAGAGGTAGCCTCCCCAAGATGACAAAATAAAAAGTTTGGCTACAGTTCCCGATAAAACCGCCCAAAAACATGAAAATAAACTCGTCTTTATTTTATTATATAACAGCTGTTATCCTATGCATTAGCATATTTTCTAACTCTTCAAGGCTTTCACAAATATTCTCTAATCCTCTTTCTGTTCAACAAAACTGGTTGAACCATTTATATGAGGGTGAAATTGAAGAACAGTTACTCACTTTAAGCGGTGTTACATTACTCAAAGCGATCGATGTACAGGTTACTTTTCATTAAACTAGTTTTTTAATGTTTTGATCAGATTCAGTTTTCGCTGTCGTCTGAATTATATGTATCTATCTGTAGTTGTAAAGGCAAAAAGTCTCTATTTTTTCAGGTTTCAAAATTTTGGGTGCTGAAATTCGATTTATTTACAGACCAAGAGGTTTAAGGTAAACTTTACTGCAAATCTTCATTTTTCATTTTGAATTTACATTTCATTTAACAATGTATGTTTTTATGACTAATTCTATGTATAGATGTGCATCCGTTGAATTTTACTATGTTTAAGATTTTTTTCCAGGATGCTTAAGCTTTTCATGACTTTTCCACTTGTTGTAGGAGCCTTTTGAAATTTGGGCTGGTGAAGTTTATTGATTTTAGAATTTAGATTTATCTTATAGCACACTTGTAAAAATTGAATTTCAATCTCTATGTAAAGAATTGAACGTTTGTTATGATTTTGAGTCAATATCCCTTTAATTGAGATCATCTTAAGAATATGCCGAAGATTTGATGGATCTATGCAAGTGTGTTTATTTAAAAGGACTAGGAGATTTATGATCTAAAACATGCATTGAATATTTACCATGAGAGTTCAATCACCATTTCTACATTAATATGATTCTATCTAATATAGGAAAAATAATAAATGCATACACACTTCTTTTAAAACAATCTACAAGTTTGATCAAGTGGTTTTATAATTATGATCATACCCATTCTAGCGTTGACAAAGAGTATTTATTGAGTTTCTACTTTGTAGGTGAAGCAATTGTTTTCTTTCATAACTTGCTAAACACCCATCCATCAACTTCTTCATTTTCTCATAAGCATTTCATCAACATGTTGTTTCCTTTCCATGCATGTTTGATCTATTTGTTGGTGTTTGATTTTAATCTGTTAATGGAACTCTCCCACCATTGTTTAAGTTTATATTTGATTATATGGTGCCTTCTTGGGACCATATTCCATCTCTGAAACGCCTTTAAAAAACCTTTCTTAAAACTACTTTTTATCTGCAAATGATATTGTCATGTCACGTTTCCCATTTCAATGCATCATAAGAAACTATGGAAGAGAAATATCAAAAAACATTGGAGAACAGAAAGTATATTCGGGGAAACTAAAATAATAAAAACATTGATTGATAATCCAGAAGTTAATTTCTTTTTTTTTTTGTTTGAATTCATTTTAATTGTTTATTTTTTCTACCGTATAAGAAATAAGCATTCTAAACATATGTAAAAAATCAAAAATCATCAATCATGTTTCATTTTCTTTGCATTTTCTCACTTATATCTTAACATAAAGAGCTATGCTAAAGGTACCCCAAAGTTGTACCCCATTTTTACCCCACCCCTAATTGTGTGGTCATAAATGGGGCAACTCATTTAAGTGGTGTCCCACTTAAATGAGTTGCCCCATTTATGGCCACACAATAGGGATGGGGTAAAAATGGGGTACAATTTTGGGGTACCTTTAGTATTATTCTAACATAAAAGCATAACTTTGTTTAGCATTTCCTTTCGCAGCATCTTACGTGTTCCAAACATAGCCTTAGTCTCTCCAACCAAGTCCTTAATCAGAAATGGAATGCTATAAAGGGGAAGCCTTCAGGGCAAAAGAACTTGCAGAAAAGAAGGTGTTAGAAAAGGACTTTGCTGGAGCCCGAGTGTCGGCACTGAAAGCCCAAAACCTGTTTCCTGGCCTTAATGGTCTGAGCGAACTTCTTGACGTGATCAACATCTATGTCAACTTTGAAAAGACCACCAATGGCGAAGTTGACTGGTATGCTGTCCTTGGAGTTGATGATGAGAAACTGAGAAGATATTGCGCAAAAATTGCTACATCAGTACACCCAGACTACAACCACTCTTGTGGGGCAAACGGTGCGTTCAGGATAATCATGCAAGCATGGAGTATGTTTGCAGATCATGCTAAGAGAGCTACTTATGATAGACGACGGCGAAGGCTTGCTATGGTGACTTCTCGGAACGTCTTCCGCAAATATCATGCTACCAGTAAGGTCCAACTGACATCCACTCCACCACAACCACCAATGCTATGCTTGCCCGGGAGAAACACTTTTTGGACTAAATGCAGTTGGTGCAACATGCAATTCCAATACTCAACAGTCTACCTCCACAAACTTCTTATATGTGTCCGCTGCCATTCGTCCTTTTGGGCAACTGAGGAAAGATCAGTTTGTGGTCAGGCATTCCCAAGCTACCCTTCTTCTGAGGCTAAATTCTTTCCAACTCCTTCACTTATGAGGGAAACACCGCCTGTGATGTTTCCTGAGCTCAATGTAATAAGCTGTCCTAATATTTGCGACCGTGCTAGTAATGGTTCTGCAACAGTGCCTTCTTCTGCTCAAGCAAATGCAAAGGCTTTGAACAGAAAGAGAAGGGTGGATGAATGGAAGTTGAGTATTGACAGAAAAAGAAGGATGATGACTCAAATTAGGGTGACTTCAACAGCTGGAACTTCTAGCAAACGCAATGATAAAACAAAAACTTCCAAACAGAAATTATCTCACTCAGATGTGCATAATGTGTTGATAGGGAAGGCCGTATTGGAAATAAAAAAGAAGTTGGATGAATGGAAAGCGACTAATGATGAAGGTTGAGAGAAAGACGACACTGGCATGAAGAATGAGGTTCTTCATACAGAACCAGAAAATCTTCTTGAGACGATGACCGTTCCGGATTCAGAGTTTCATGATTTTGATAAGGATAGAATGGAAGACTCGTTTGAGGATAATGAAGTCTGGGCTGTATATGACTGTGATGACGGAATGCCCAGGTACTATGCCATGATTAAGAAGGTGGTGTCTAGAAGACCGTTCAAGGCATCCATCAGTTGGTTGAACTCCAAGAGCAACAGTGAACTAGGACAGATGAAGTGGGCAGTTTCAGGATTTACAAAGACCAGTGGGGATTTCTGGATAGGCAAGTCTATGCTCAATGCTTCAGTCAACAATTTCTCCCACCAGGTTAACTGGATAAAGGGCTCCCGGGGAGTCTTCAAAATCTACCCATGTAAAGGGGATGTTTGGGCTCTATACAGTGAATGGTCACCCGAATGGAATGAGTTCACCGCTAACAGTGTGGTTCACAAGTATGAAACAGTTCAAATCCTTGAAGAGTTCAACGAGGATGGAGTTGCTAGAGTTGTCCCATTGGTCAAAGTGCGTGGCTACAGATCAGTGTTTAAGCAGCATGAGGACCCCAGCAAAATCCAGTCCATCCCAAAAGAAGAGATTTTTAGACTATCTCACCAAATCCTGAAGTATGTCATAACTGGTTTGGAAGGTCCAAATGCTCCCTCTGGGAGGTTTCTTGAACTCGACCCTGCTGCTCTGCCACCAGAACTTCTCCAAGTCATTGATGATGATAAAGAGATAGAAGCAGAAATGCGAACAAATGCTCAAGAGTCCGAGGTTGTTGACAACCGCTTTCGTTTGACATATTTTAGAAAACGGAAAAGAGTAATCAGCTGTAATATTCAATATTAAGACTGACCAATGAGATCATGCCACCTTGTTTATTATCAAAGGGAACCAATCAAGCCTCTTTGTAATGCCAATCAAGCTCAGGTACATATATAGAACAGTGATGAACTGATAAATCTTTATGTCAGGTGCCCATGAAATTTCGATAGAAAATACCTTAAAATTATACTGCATATATAAAAGTTTTGTTTCTAAGTGCCTATGTAGTGTAACGCGTATCAGACAACAGTATAGGATGCTCGTAAGTCGTACACATTTCATTTTTATTCAGTTTCTAAGAATGAAAGTTAGTATTGGATTTCTTGTATATTATGTTTGGATAATATTTTTGCATTGGAATAAAAATGCTTTATCATATATATATGCTCATAGTTTGCTTGTGCTTATGTTTGAATCATATACTCCGTATATAGATGCAGATAAGTGGTCAAACTGTTGGATTAGAGTTTCAATTCACTTTCCATACGTAGTACAATTTAATCATATTATGTCTAGATCATATATGTGTCAGGTTTACTGCTCAATTATAATAGGGTTCACAAAGAAAGCCAGAACTAGCTTCTCTCTATTTCTACAATCTAACTACTAAGTAAATAGAATGTGATGATGAGCATTACAATATTTCTATGTATAGGCCAAGTATGACATATTTCGGGATTTGGTGAGATAGTCTAAAAATCTCTTCCGGATTTTGCTGGGGTCCTCATGCTGCTTAAACACTGATCTGTAGCCATGCACTGATCAACAGGACAACTCTAGCAACCCCATCTTCGTTGAACTCTTCAAGGATTTGAACTGTTTCATACTTGTGAACCACACTGTTAGTGGTGAACTCATTCCATTCGAGCGACCATTCGCTGTATAGAGCCCAAACATCCCCTTTACATGGGTAGATTTTGATGACTCCTGGGAACCCTTTGTCCTGTTAACCTGGTGGGAGAAATTGTTGACTGAAGTATAGAGCATAGACTTGCCTATCCAGAAATCTCCACTAGTCTTTGCAAATCCTGAAACTACCCACTTCATTTGTCCAAGTTCACTGTTGTTCTCGGAGATCCCATCTGATGGATGCCTTGAACGGCTTCTAGACACCACCTTCTTGATCATGGCATAATACCTGTAATTTCTAGAATTGTTTTTTACAACAATTATGGGCCAAAGTATTTCATCAGTAGTCTTTCCACTTTTAGTCCTTTTTTTATTGTGACATCTACGTTTTTGGTACTTTTTTTTAATTTTCCCACAATAGTTGGAGGACCAAAATGTTATTATCTTAATAGTTAGAGGATTAAAAGTGAAAATAAAAAATTGATTCCTAAAGCATCTCGATCATTAAATGTGAAAAACAATTGAATGGATGCTAAAAGCTAAGTGTCATTGCCACAATAGTCAAAGATCTAAAAGTGAAAAAACTCTTAATCAGGAAGAAATGTGAAGCTAATAAACAGTCTCAACCAGTAAAGTTTGAAATTTTTATAAATCTAGACCTCAGATCAATCTTCTTTCTTTATCATAATTTGTTCGAGCTAGTTTATCATGCAACTTCACTTATGTCAATATGCTTTGTTATCTATTTGAAGTTGCATTGTGGTTTTTCCTGATGCCTAATTGTAAACTCTAGCCATGAATATAATTGCACTTCCTTACAATAATTGCACTTCACTTAGTGGATTATTGAAGAAAACGAGTCTGGGACATTATTCTTTCAGAAACCAAACATTCTTTGATTTTTGAAACTAGTTTAAGTTGTTCTTGAGGAACAACTAAGAGATGTATTTAGATTACCACGTTTTGCTGGGTTGTCATTTAAATATTCAATGTACATCTTATCTGTAAAACCATGATTCATGACATACCAAGTGTATGTGCTCACAGTTTAAGAAATGGATTCTCCAACAATTTGAGAGATTTCATATAATCAAAATGAAAATGCAGATTGCAGAATGACATTTATCTGATTGATCATGAACCTCTTTCATCATTTCGTGGTACATTTTTTATAGAAGATTGTATTTCCTGTTTATCGGCCATATTTTCTACCAAGCACTATTTTATTTTACTATACTGGTTGAATCAGGTCATGAAATGAAAGAAAATGATACCTTTACCCTTATTTTTGAAAAATGATCATTTTTACCAACATTATGTTCAGATATCATTTTATTTAATCAATAAAAAACATTACTTTTACATATTTTTTAGAACTATTCAGTTAAATTAGAATGACACCACATAGTGTAGAATGGTGTTATCGGATATATCATGAACCTCTCTCTGTCATCGTTTCTTAGTACAAGTTTGGTATACCTTTTTTCCTGATTATTAGCCATATTCACTACCAAACACAAACTTATTTGACTATATCAGTTGAATTAGGTGATGAAATTAAAGAAATGACATTACCCATATGTTAAAAAAAATTATTCGTTTTACCATTACTTTCAGATATCATTTCCTTTATCAATAAAAAAGATGTGTTACAGATTTTTAAAATTATTCGGTTCATTCTTATCGTGCACGGACCTCTCACTGGCTTGCGGATGGGGGGGGGGGGGGGGTAAAAGTCTCTTCATTTTGTCCCCACACCAAAATGAAAAAAATGCACATTAGTTATGTCACTTGACAGCTCAGAGGTATCAGTCCATTGGATTTCCCATTCATGTTCATTGCACAAAAAAGGGTTTTACTAAGAGTAAGAGGTGACAGAATACAGGTTAAATCCATATCAGATTCTAAAGCTCTTTTAATGCCTTCTCACTTGAGAAGCAGCAACAATAGTTCAAAGCAGTTAAACATTGAGGCAATCCAACAACTATTACAATTTTTAAAAATAATACAAAAATGCAATGTCTTACTGGTAAGTTAATCTCACCTCAGTAAGTTATTAAAAAAGTGCAGATTAATGTTCTTATAGGAATTTGAATTTGATCATTTTTTGGCGTGTCACTCTTTCCCACCCTCTTTTACATTGTGATGAAATGAGACTTCAAAGTGTATTTTAGAATTTGTCAATAATTTTGATGTCATTACTAAATTCGTCCAGATCTCAAACATGATTATTTTAGTAAATAATTAATTAAATATCCGAAAAGTGGTCATTAAGACCAAAATCCATTGATGAAAAAGCAAATTTAAGACAATGCAGAAAAGGAAAATATGATTAAATTAACGAAGGAAATATATTAATATGCATTAAATTACCTATCAAATTTAACCAGGTTTTGAATTTAACCATGGTTGGTAGCCTCCCCAAGATGAAAAAATAAAAAGTCTCGCTACAGTTCCCAATAGGGTCAATAAAACTGCCCAAAAACATTAAAAAAAACTCCTCTTTGTATTTTATTGTATTATTATATAACAGCTGTTTTCTATGCATTAGCATATTTTCTAAATCTTCAAGGCTTTCACAAATATTCTCTAATCCTCTTTGTGTTCAACAAAAGTGGTTAAACCATCTATATGAGGGTGAGATTCATCAACAGTTGCTCACTTTAAGTGGTGGTACATTACTCAAAACGATTGATATACAAGTTATTTTTCATTATATTACGGACTAGTTTTTTAATGTTTTGATGAGACACAGTTTTCTCTGTTCGTCTGAATTTTACATATCTATCTGACTGCTATGTTTTTCTTCCCGAAGTAGGAGTCGTTACTGCCATGATTAAAATATACTCCCATTAATGATAGTAAATAGTGCCATGTTTAATGCCTAGTTCTGCAACTATTTGGCAGACTACAAGATAGCCATAAATAGTGTCATGTTACTCCTATTTCGGGAAGAAAAACATAACAATCCTATTTTGGAATTCCAAAACCTGTTTACTCCTATTTCAGGAACTTTCCTTTATTCACACGTCAGGAGGTTTAAGGTAAACTTTGCTGCAATTCTTCATTTCTCATTTAAATTTACATACTCTCCGTCACGAAAAGGTTTGCCAAATTGACATTTATTGGTCAATGATAGTCAACTTTGACCAATGATATTTTTAAATACGAAGTTATTTTGAATATGAAAATTATATTAAAATGTTCCTTATTAAAAATATTTTCATAAAAGTATAAAGTTTATAAATTATATAAAAATATAGTAATTAAAATCATTGACCAAGAAAAGTTAATATGACAGACCTTTTTGGGACGGAGGCAGTATTATTTAACTATGTATGTTACGATCTATGATGCATGATTCTGTGTATAGATGTGCATCTGTTGAATTGTACTTTATTGTTTTTTCTCCGGGATGCTTAAACTTTTCATGGCTTTTCCACTTATTTTAGAAGCCTTTTGAAATTTGAGCTGGTTATATTTTTAAATTTAGATTTATCTAAAAGCATGTGTGAAAAAACTTCAATTTCATACTCTATCTAAGGAATTGAACGTTTGCTGTGATTTTGAGTTGATATCACTTCGATGACATCATCTTAAGAATATGACGAAGATTTGATGGATCCATACAAGTGTGTTTACATAAAAGGACTATGAGATTAATGATCTAAAAACATGCAGTAAATATTTAACATGAGAGTTCAAGCACCATGTCTACATTGATATGATTTTTCTAATATAGGAAAAATAATAAAAGAATTCACTCTTCTTTTCCAAAAAAGTATCCAAGTTTGATTAAGTGAATATATAATTATGTTCATAACTGTTCTAGCTTTAACAGCGAGTATTCCTGGAGTTTCTACTTTGTAGGTCAAGTGATTTTATTTCTTCCTGAATTTATTAAACACCCATCAACTTCTGTATTTGCTCATAAGCGTTTCATCAACATGTTGTTTCCTTTCCATGCATGTTGGGTCTATTTGCTAAGGTGTGGTTTTGGTCTGTCAACGGAACTCTCCCATGGTAGTTTAGGTTTATAATTGGTTATATGGTGCCTTCTGGGGAGCCACCTCTAAAACACATTTGAAAAACCCCTTTCTTAAAACTGTATTTCATGTACAAACGATATTGTCACGTCGCGTTCTCAGTTTCAGTGCAACCTAGGAAACTAACGAAGAGTAATACTGAAGGAATTTCAAAGGAAAGAAAATAATGTCGGGGAAAAAAGATTTAAACAATGTTTATATTCCATAAATTTATTTTTAATATTTGTTTGATTTCATTTTAATTGTTTTCTATTTCTACCATATAAGTATTAAGCAATCTAAATATTTGAAAAGAATCTAAAATCATCAATCAAATTTCATTTTCTTTGCTTTTCCTCAAGTAAATCTAAACATGAGAGAATAACTCTGTTCAACATTTCCTTTTTGCAGCATTTTACGTGATCCAAACATAGTCTTATTCTCTTCAACCATGTTTTTTATCAGAAGTGGAATATTATAAAGCGGCAGCCCTCGTGGCAAAAGAACTTGCAGAAAAGGTGTAAGAAAAGGACTTTGCTGCAGTCCAAGTGTTAACATTGAAAGCCCAAAACCTGTTTCCTGGCCTTGTTGCCCTGAGCAAACTTCTTGACATGATCAACATCTATGTCAACTTTGAGAAGACCACCAATGGCAAAGTTGACTGGTATGCTGTTCTTGGAGTGGACTCTTTAGTTGATGATGAGACGTTGAGAAGATATTGCACAAGAATGGCTACATCACTGCACCCAGACAACAACGACTCTTGTGGGGCAAATGGTGCTTTCTGGATACTCATGCAAGCATGCAGTTTGTTTTCAGATCATGCTAAGAGAGCCACTTATGATAGATGACAGCGAAGGCTTGCTATGGAGACTTGTGGGAACGTCTTCCGTAGATCTCATTCTACCAGTAAGATCCAACTAACATCCATTCAACCACAACCACCACTGTTATTCTTGCTAGGGAGAAACACTTTTTCAACGAAATGCAGTTGGTGCAACATGCAATTCCAATACTCAACAGTCTACCTCCACAAACTTCTTATATGTGTCCGCTGCCATTCGTCCTTTTTGGCAACCGAGGAAAGACCAGTGTTTGGGCAGAAACTTTCAAACTACTCTTCCTCTGAGGTAAAATTCTTTCCAACTCCTTCGCTTATGAGGGAAACACCGCCGGTGCTGTTTCCTGAGCTCAACACAATAAGCTGTCCCAATATTTGCTACCATGCTAGCAATGGTTCTGCAACAGTGCTCTCTTCTTCTACTACTCAAGCAAATGAAAAGGCTTTGAACAGATAGAGAAGGATGCATGAACGGAAGTTGAGTATTGACAGAAAAAGGACTATGACTCAAAGCATGGCGACTTCAACAGCTGGGCCTTCTAGCAAAAGCATTGATAAAACAAAAACTTCTAAAAAGCAATTATCTCACTCAGATGTTCATAATATGTTGATAGGGAAGGCCAAATTGGAAATAAAAAAGAGGTTGGATGAATGGGAGGTGACTAATGATGATTGGAGAGAAAGATGACATTAGCACGAAGAATAAGGTTCTTCATACAGAACCCGTTCTTGAGTCGATGACTGTTGCAGATTCAGAGTTTCATGTTTTTGATAAGGACAGAATCGTTTGAAGATAATCAGGTACGGGCTGTATATCACTGTGATGACGGAATGCCCAGGTACTATATAATGATCAAGAAGGTGGTGTCTAGAAGACTGTTCAAGGCATCCATCAGGTTGTTGAACTCCAAGAGCAATAGTGAACTTGGACAGATGAAGTGGGTACCTTCAGGATTTCCAAAGACCAATGGGGATTTCTGGATAGCCAAGTCTGTGGTCAAAGCTTCACTCAACTCTTTCTCCCACAAGGTCAACTGGACAAAGGGTTCGTGGAGAGTCACCAAAATCTACCCAAGTAAAAGGGATGTTTGAAATGTAGTTCAGGTAAAGAAATGGAAATATGGAATAGCGATGAACTGATGAACGTTTGATAGCAAATAATGCCTTAAAATTACATTCATATATAGAAATTTTGTAGTGTAACATGATCAGACGATAGTATAGGATGCTCAACATTCCATTTATAGTCAAATTCTTGAAATGAAAGTTAATTTTGGCTTTCTTCCATAATATGTTAGGAAATTGTGACTGCATTGGAATAAAAAAACAGTATATATGTTCATAGCTGTTTTTAGCATATAATAGTAATACATACAAAACAGTAATATAATGATTCTACACCAAACAACAAACTGAAGAGTCAAAACTAATAGGAGTATCACAGAAATCTTTCAATCCCATTTTTG